ATAATAATAATAATAATAATAATAATAATAATAATAATAATAATAATAATAATAATACAAAAAAGGAGAAATTGAATAGTATAAAACATTTAAAACAACAGTTACATAGAAAATTTAAAATAAAAAAATATATGAGTGAGCAAAATTACATTGTTACGACTGAGCTTTAGGGCCACGCTAAGAATTTTTTTTTACATTGCCACGCAAAAAAAAAAAAAAAAAGAATTAAAAGCCATAAAATTATGAGAATAAAGTCGTACTTGTACATGTCTTTTTGCAGTTCTCGTGGTTTTTTTGTTGTTGTTGTTTTTCACGAGTCGGATCTACGATACGACCTGTCAATCAGTCCGGTAGGCGTGTCAGCAGGGTTTACCGCATTTTAACTGTGGTAAAATGAAGAATGTTGAGCATCTTGTTAAGTTATACTTTGGTATTGGTTTTACAAACAAGGAGATACTTAATCTGTGAGCACATCAGCATCAGATTATTATCAGTATCAGGACTTTGAACCTACAGTAAGGTGGTACGCTGTGATGGGCTGCAGCGCAGCTCTGCAGGTAAGGAGCATTTAGCTTCAGCTTGGTCATTTGCTGACACGCCTACTGGATTGATTGACATGTTGCATCGTGGATCCGACTCGTTGAAAAAAATTAATGAGAGCTGTAAAAAAAGTCTCATACGACTTTATTCTCGTAATTTTATGGCTTTTAATTTTTTTTTTCTTAGCATGGCCCTAAAGCTCCGTCGTACATTTTAAACAGGTTGAAATGTTTTTTATTCTGTATTTTTACCTTGCCTAGTGGTCACTAATAAAAATGTCAACATTAGAAAACAGACTTGACTTGCAGAGTTTGGAATCAACAGGATTAAAGATGGCCACCTCAACTAATCAACATAAGAAAACACAAAAATGGCTAAAACTGTCTATTACACATTGAGCTAAAATTTGGTTTAGTATGAGACTTATCGAACACTAACTCATTGAGCAAGATCTGGGTTTAAATCTTTGAACCACTGAAAACAACTCTTGACTATTAGCAAAATATCTATTGAACTACTGAATGGCTTTTAAATAAATGCTCAGGAAATAACCATTGTACGTACCTCTACAACTGGCTAACCTTTGTAGCCAGTCAAGCTTGAAATGGCTGCAGCAGCTAATTGACCTTAAAAAACACCAAAATAGATATTGTTTGTCTGTTGTACAAATCTTGTAATAAGATTTGTTGTGGTAGTAGCTGAGAGTCATTCACAACACACACTCCAAGTGTTTTTCATTGTGCAAGATCTTTGGTGAATAGCCACCATGAAAAAATTGTTGGTCTCCCACTGGCCCCCCCTTGGCCAGTCTATCTTATTGAGCCCCCCCACCAAAACAAAAAACAAAAACAACATTTTTCAGCTATTAGAAGTTAATAATACAAATATGCATTTTATATAAAAATAAAACTTAAAATATAGTCCCTCTAAGGACAACTGGTCTAAAATTAAAGTCCTGAACATTTTACAGGGTCTTAAGATGTTACATGCATAATATTTTTAAAAATACGTACATTTAATAGAGGACAAGCTGAGTAGTGACCATGCTTTTCGCAATAAGTAATTGAAAATGTTAAAATATATATAATTAATTAAAGTATACTTATTTATATATCTGTGTAAAGTCAGTTTACACTGGTTGGGAAAACGTATTTATAGTAAAATGTTGATTTAGCGTTTTTTTTTAAAGACTTGTACTGAATGTCTTAACTGTAAAGACAAGAAATCTACAGACTTTGTGCTGCCAGCAAACAGCCCCAAGGACACTGTGATAAATGGTTGTATGTGTTAATGTAAAATATCAAACTAAGCTCGCAGCTGTAACGTACGAGTGCTGAGGACATTCGACCTTGAGTATTTCAGGGGCAGAACACCCACTTTACTCTGAGATGTTTCTAAATATGATAAGTTGGTTCTGGGGCTCAGAAGGTTATGTGCGCTAATCAATAAGGTATGTTTCCAAGTAGCATTTGTAAGTGTTGTTTTTAAAGAAAGTTGTTGTTTTTAATTCTAATAGGAGCTTATTTTCATTGATTGACATTGGGTGTTTTTTTGTTTTTAGATTTATGCATATCTGTTACAACAACATACTTTTTTCCCCCCAATAGTTCACATATGATGTATATCCTGTGTCTTTCCTGGGACCTCTTCCCTGTTGGACATGCCCGGAGCACCTCCCTAAGGAGGCACCTAGGGGGCATCCTTACCAGATGCCCAAACCACCTCAACGGGCTCCTCTCGATGTGGAGAAGCAGCGGCTCTACTCAGAGTCTCTCCTGTATAATTGAACATCTCACACTATCTCTAATGGTCCAGCTACCCTGTGGAGAAAACTCATTTTGACCGCCTGCATCCACAATCTCTTTTTTTCAGTCACTACCCAGGGTTCTTGGCCATAGGTGAGAGTAGGACCATAGACCGAATGGTAACCAGAGATCTTTGTCTTACAGCTCAATTCCTTGAATTGCCACCTTATCGTGGTGGAGGAGATTGAGCTCCTGAATGATCCTAGGAGCTATGCTGTCGGGGGCAATTGCCTCTGGTAGGGGTCTCCTAAGGTAGAGTTCTCCTTAAGCCAGACAACGAGTGATTCAAAAGACTTGTATCAACAGAAAACAACAAGGATTTTAATGTCCCTTACCCGGACATGGGTTACCGGTGCCCCACCCAGGAGCCAGGCCTGGGGGAGGGTCTTGTCGGCGACTGCCTGATGACCTTGTGACTCATGTGGTCCGATCGGGCTCAGCCCGAATGAGCAACAGGGGTTTGCCTTCTTGTGAGCCCACTACCTGCTGGAGGGGCCATAATTCATTCATTCAACCTTTATTTATACAGGTTAATCCCATTGAGTCTTGGGATAAGAGTCAGGTGCAAAGTGCCATGGGTAGGCCCGGCGTGATAAACAATATATCAAATAATCGCATGATAAATGAAAATTATCAACCTCATTTTCATTTATTGGCTTTATTGCTTCTTCGTGTCTCTCTCTTTCTACTGAAGACACTGGATGACAAAAGGCTCAACTCCGGTGCTCTTCACTAACCCCTCTTTTTTCTTTTCTCTTTAAAATATGTTTTAACCGTCCAAAATCACATTTTTGGATGGTTAAAAGCAGCTAAGCTGAGAAGCTAAGCTATGAGCTAAGCTAACAGGCCAACCTCAGGGAAAAAACCTCCGTCTAGTCGAAGCTCCAAAACTCACAGTTGAAACTTGTACATTTGTGTAAAAAGTTGTTTTTCTCCGCAAAAAGAAGCTCAGAACTTGTTTACTGATTTCTTATTAAAGCTTTGTGTGAAAAATGCTATGTGAAAGAGCTCAAACAACACCGAGCGTTCGCCATTTTGAGAACCGGAAAAAAAGGAAGGAGAAACAGCCCATGTCATATCAAGGGGCCTCCCTCCTATTTTTCTTAAAGAGACTCTGCTCGCTCCCTCACTATCCATCCTTCAGTTCAAACAGTCTTATACTGCCATTTGGTGGTCAAAAAAGGTACTACACTCAAAACAAAATTAGCAAACATTTCTTCGTAAATTTGACAATTATTACTAATTATTGTCAAATTTCAAACAATATTATCGTTTATCTCAATAAATTCTGAGACAATTAATTGCCCAGCAAAATTTGATATTGTGACAGGCCTAGCCGTGGGTTGTAGCCAAAGGTGGGAGCCTTGGCGCTCTGACCCTGGCTTACCAAAGCTGGCCCACTGATCTCAACGTCTATTTGCTCTTTAGCCTGAGATTTATTTTTGTTGTTTTTTTATGTTTCCCTTTGTATAAAATATTTTATGCTACTCTATTTTATGTTTGTCTTTCATAATCTGTATTATTTCCTACAGGCTCCATGTCATCTCTGGGCTCCAGCGGAGGAAGCTCTCTGCTGCAGGTTCCAGGAGCTCTGCCTGCCATCAGCCACGCTTCATTGGGGTCTGGACGCAGCTTCAGGCCAATGATCCGCCTCAGCGCCTCTCAGAGCTTCGATAGACACTCGACATACAAACTGAGTCAAGCTGACAGCGTGGAGGGATGCCGATTCAGCCCATCTCACAGAGCAAACAGACACAGACTGAACTCGGCTCACAGTATAGACGGGTACAAATTCAGCCCAGCTCGTCGAATAAACAGATACAGACTCAGCTCTGCTCACAGTATGGATGGATACAGACTGAATCCAGATCCGAGCACAGACAGGCCGAAGCTGCTGTCCAGCCACAGCATAGACAGATGTCCGTCAGACAGACTGAGTCCGAAGCACAGTAGCAGCAGACGGTCATCTTCATGGCTCAATCCTGAAGACAGTTTGGACCGAAACAAACTCAGTCCTTCCTACGTTCCTGAGAGTTCAGTCCTAAAGAGACCCGCCTCCTTCCGCACTGCAAGCAGACAGTTACGGAGACAGGTGTGTTATTTTCTTTTATACTGAACAAAAATATACAAGCAACACTTTTGATTTTGCTCCCATTTTTCATGAGGTGAACTCAAAGATTTAAGCTTTTTTCTCTCAAATTTATGTAAATCTGTGTTTGTGAGCACTTCTCTTACCAAAATAATCCAGCCACCTCACAGGTGTGGCATATCAAGATGCTGTTTAGACAGCATGATTATTGCACAGGTGTGCCTTAGACTGGCCACAATAAAGGGCTACTGGAAAATGTGCAGTTTTATCACACAGCACAATGCCACAGATGTTGCAAGTTTTAAGGGACATAACATACAATTGGCATGCTAACTGCAGGAATGCCCACCAGAGTTGTTGCCCATGAATTGAATGTTAATTTCTCTGCCATAAGCCGTCTCCAAAGGCGTTTCAGAGAATTTGGCAATACATCCAAACGGCCTCATAACTGCAGACCACGTACCACACCAGTTTAGGACCTCCACATCCAGCATCTTCACCTCCAAGATCGTCTGAGACCAGCCACCTGGACAGCTGCTGCAACAATCGGATTGCATAACTAAAGAATTTCTGCACAAACTATCAGAAACTGTCACAGTGAAGCTCACAAGCATGCTTGTTGTCCTCACTGGGGTCTCCACCTGACTGCAGTTTATCGTTGTAACTGACTTCAGTGGGCAAATGTTCACATTCAATGCCATATGGAATGTTGGAGAGGTGTTCTCTTCACAGATGAATCCTGGTTTTCACTGTACAGGGCAGATGGCAGATTTTGTTTATGGCATCGTGTGGGTGAGCGTGGTTTGCTGACATCAATGTTTTGGAATGAGTGGCCCATGGTGGTGGTGGGGTTATGGTATGTGCAGGTGTATGTTATGGACAATGAACACCGGTTGATTTTATTGATGGCATTTTGAATACACAGATACTATAAGATCCAGAGACCCATTGTTGTGCTATTCATCTTTGACCATCACCTCATGTTGCAGCATGATAATTCACGGCCCCATGATTCAAGGGTCTGTACACAATTCTTGGAAGCTGAAAACATCCTAGTTCTTGCATGGCCAGTATACTCTACAGACATGTCACCCGTTGAGCATGTTTGGGATGCTCTGAATCTGTGTATACAACAGCATGTTTCAGTTCCTGACAATATCCAGCAACTCCACACAGCCATTGACGAGGAGTGGATCAACATTCCACAGGCCACAATCAACAACCTGAGCAACTCTATGTAAAGGAGATGTGTTTCACTGTGTGAGGCAAATGGCAGTCACTGACACCACCACCACCACCACCATACATACATCGAAAAAGTCTTAGATCTTTGAGTTCAGCTCATGAAAAATGGGAGCAAAAGCTAAAGTGTTACATTTATGTTTATGTTCAGAGTATCATTTTCCCTCTCATCAAAATGTGTCAGTTGTGTGATAATGCTCTTGTTTACTTATTTACTTTCCATATGGGCAACCTGAACTTGATCATTTAATTAAACATAACTGAACAGCAAAACTATAATAAAGAAGACTAAATTTGTTTCTTAAATCCAACACAAGCAGAAGGAGTTAAGAAAATTTGTGCTATAGTACAAGATGGAGCATTTCAAAAGAATGGACGAGCAAGATTATGGAGAACTGTGAAAGTCAGGAGGGAAATTTTAAATTGTATGCAAACTAAAAGCAAAGGTGTTGTTTGAGGATGAGAATGGTGAGTTCAGCAGATGGTGTTCTGGTGACAATGCAAGCAGGAGAGTTCTGGACTGTCTGAAGTTTATGGATTTGTGTGGTAGACCAGAGAGAAGAGAACTACAGTAATCAATACAAGCAGTAACAAGGACATAAATAAGAGTAGCAGTGCTCTTGGCTGTAAGCAACTTAAAAAGACAGTTGGTAGAGCACTGTTAAAAGTAAGATGAATGAGCAACAGTACTATGTTTAAAAAAAAGTATGCTCTCAAAATTGACACCAAGGCCCTTAATACAAGGAGAAGGATGGACTGTGGAAATGTCAAAGTTGGTTGACAAATGTGGGTATTTCGAGTGGGTGGACTTGAATTACATTTTTTTCCTCGGTTCAGTCCAGTTTTTTATAGCTCCAATTCACAACAAATGTTGTCTCAGGGCACTGTAAAAATATTCACATACATTAGAAAATGCTAAATATTGAAAATTATTTATCTAAATAAAATCTGATTGTGTTGAATTACCTTTTCATAGCAACTACTCATCCCGAACAAGCACACAGGCGACAGCAGAAAGAAAAATACTCCCAGCAAAACTAGGCTCAGGATTGGCAGCCATCTACTTTGGCTAGCTGGGGGAAAAGGGGACAGGAAAGCAATACAGACAGACACAAAATGACTTACTGCTGAGTTAGACCAAATATCTTTAGTAAGCCAGTTATTTTTAATTCCCAAAATGTTTTAAACAGAGAACGTACAAGAGTGGGTTTAGCAGAGAGGTACTGCTGGGTACCATCATAATGGGGAATCACATTGTGTATCCTGAAAATAGAGCCTGGGAGAAGTAAATTTAGTACCAAAAGTAAAGAAATTTGTATTTGGTTGATTATTTGTAGAAACAATACTTCTTGGCATTAAATCTTAGATAGTTGAAATGCCAGTTTATTTATCCTTAAATAGTGTCCCATTTGTTAGGAAAATGCAGTTGTGGCTAAACAGCAGAGTTGAGCATGTGGGTTGTGCCCATGGAAAAACTTGCCAATTTTTTTACCAACATTAAATACCTTATTCTGGTACTGACTCTTGTCTGGTGTCAGTTGAATGACTGAAGTCTAACAATTCAGGGGGTTGCTACAGGTCAACAACTTATTAATTTATTCATCAAATGGACTTTAGCAAGTGGAAGAACAGTATAACAGCCTGGAACCACCTCCTCAAGCTGTTCACTGGCTTGGGTACACCCTGCTGTGGGATGGCATCTATCGCCATGTCCTCTCTAACTGTATCCATATATCTCCTCTTTGTCTTTTTCCTGGTAGCCTCATTTCTATCATCCTTCTACCAATTTTTTTCATTTGTTCATTTAGCCTTTATTTTATCCTTCTACCAATATACCCACTATCCCTACTCTGGACACGTCCAAATCAGACTGGCCACTCTAACATTGTCTCCCAGTTGTTCAATCTGTGCTGTACCTCTGATGATCTCATTCCTAATCCTATCCATCCTTGTCACTCCCAAGGAGAACCTCCACATCTTCAGCTCTGTCACTGCCAGTTCTGTCTCCTGTTTTTTTTTTTTTTTTTTTGCCTATGCCACTGTCTCCAAAACATATAACATTGCTGGTCTTTACCACAAACAGAATGTGGTAAAATCTCTTTACCACATTCCCATTTTCCTGGACAGTTGACCCCAAGTACTTGAAGTCCTGCACCTTTGTGATCTCTGCTTCTTGTAGCTTCACTGTTTGACCGGCCTCCCTCTCTGTCTTGTTATGGGTGACTTTCATCCCTCTTCTTTCAAGTGCATACCTCCACCTCTCTTAAGTTCTCTTCCCCCTGTTCCCTGTTCTCACCATAGGCCACAATGTCATCTGCAAACATTGTAGTCCACGGGGATTCCTGCTTGACCTCATCTGTTAGTCGGTCCATCACCAGAGCAAACAAGAAGGGGCTCAGAGCCGATCCTTGATGCAGTTCCACCTCCACCTTGAAGCTATCTGTCACTCCTACACTACATCTCACCACTGTCCTGTTGTTCTCATACATGTCTTGTACCAGTCTAACATACTTCTCTGCCACTCCAGATTTCCTCATGCAATACCACAGTTCATCCCGTGGCACCCTGTCATATGCTTTTTCTAAATTCACAAAGACACAATGAAGTTCTTTCTGACCTTCTCTGGAATTCATCAGCATCCTCCAAGGAAAGGTGGTGTCTGTGGTGCTCTTTCTTGGCATGAAACCATACTGCTGCTCACAATTGTATGCCTCATCAACTTAATTCCCCTGTAGTTGCTACAAATCCATACATTACCCTTGTTCTTTAAAAAGGGCACCAGCACACTTCTCCTGTGTTCTGAAGGGATTTTCTCACTCTCAAAAATGCCATTAAATAATTGAGTCAAAAACCTCATTGCCATTTCTCATAGACATTTCTATACCTCCACTGGTATGTCATCAGGTCCAACTGCCAAAATCTTTTTGAACCTTATGCTCACTAGTCTTTCTGACTATTTGGTTAACAGTTTCTATGACCTCTACTCTTCTTTCGCTTTCATTCTCTTCATTTATTAGCTCCTCAAATTACTCCTTCCACCTTCCCATAACACTCTCCTTAGTTGTTGTTGTTTTAGCATTACCATTCCTATCTTTAACTTGTCTAACCTGCTGCACATCTTTTCCAGCCTGATCCCTAGCTGTCTCGCCAATTGATACAGGGCCTTCTTGCGCTCTTTAGTGTTCCGCCTCCCATACAAGGGTACTAGAAGCTCAAAACAAGACTGAATAGCAAAATAAGCTCTTTGGCATTGGCAGAAAAAATTGGCAAGTTGTTCGTGGGCACAATATACATACTCAACTCTGCTGCTAAACCCAAAAATGCATTTTTCTTACAAATGTGTCATCCTTTAAGAGGACATAAACAGGCTTTGCAATCTTGTAGGATTTATTGCCAATAAACATTGTTACAAGAAAGAATAAATCAACAAAACACATATTTTTCTTACGTTTTTTTTTTTTTTTGCTTTGTTAAAATAGATTATAAAAGAAAGTGGTCCCAAGATTTTGTTATGGTGAACACCTCAGGTAACAGGCAGGTTGAAATTGTATAATTTTATTACAGACAAGCTAAATGTGACAAAGTGAGTGAATTGTTAATGGTGATACCATTCGAAACTAGTTGAGTGAGAAGGATGTTATGAGAGATGGTGTCAAAAGCATCTGTAAAGCTACTATATTTTCTACTATATTAGAAATAAATTGCAGATTAGATATTGGTCTGCAGTTATTGAGGTCATTGACATTTGCAACGGGTTTCCTAAGAACAGGCGTTACAACTGGATTGGAAAGAAAATAAAACTTGAGCAGATGCTGACAAAGCATAGATGATTTTAGTTATGAAGAGAGATAAAGAAGGCAAATGGGAATAAACTATATGAGTAGTGAAAGGATCGCGCTGGCAAATGAGTGATTTAAATTTAGTGTCAGATATTTCAGTGATCGTTGAAAGTTAACAAGTGCATCATAAAGAAGAGGAGCCATCGGAGACAATTACGGTAGAATTATAGTACAATTGTCTGTTGGGTAAGGAAGCAAAGTGCCAATTCATATTTGTAATTTGGGTTTTGGAGAAAGATAAAATGTTGGAAAACTGAATCCAAATGAAGTGGAAGAGTATTAGGGGTTCAGTAGAGCATAACAGTAAAAGTACTATAGGTTCATTAGTATTACAACAATACTCATGTTTGGTTAAACAACACTGCTTAAACCACACATTGGTCTTTAATAACTGAGTTAAAGGTATTTGTGGTCAAGATGTATAGTGCATTTTATTAATTTTATTTTATCTTTAATGGGCTATTGTTCTAGAAATGTTTGTATTTTCTTATAGTCCTGATTTTCAGATACTGTTCATGTGCTGTAAACATTTTTTCAAGCCCGACACTTCCTCTTTTGTGTCCTCCAATTGTCGATTTTTCTTATTATTTAAGCGCACACTACACAATATGATGTCATGGCGAGGATGAGTGAAAAAGCAGCCCAAGACCAAAGAAAAACTTTTAAGACCTTCAGAAAGCTCAGACAGCTTTTGATCAAGACCAGTTTAAAATATTTCAGAAAACTCTGACTCCTGAAAAGCAAAATGTAAAGAAATGAGAAATAACTCAAGGCTTGCACAGTGGAAACAACAGCCATATGCATTTTTTAAATTTATTTTTCTGTACCACTGCATAATGTGTGTCGGGCATGTTTTGTGCTTTCAGGAGGCTGTGCGTAGTGACTCTCTGGATCAGAGCGGTTCAGCTGATGACCTGGCAGAGCCCTGCCTCACTGTGCCCACTCCAGCACGTCAGAGATCTTCCAGCGTGCACACACTGAAATACGTACATCCCCAGAGGGTAATCTCATGCAGGAGCCACAGCCGGAGCCACAGTGAAGCCAAAGAACATGAACATGTACCTGAGAAGACCATCTGCGGCTCTCAGCCAGAAAATGATACAGAAAAAAGGCCTGTCAGCCCACAGGGACTGTCCAGTCTGAAGGTCACCAGCAACGAACACACACTTTTAGCTCCGCCGCCTGACTCCAGAGTGGCCTGCCCTGGCGCTGGCGCTGGATCAGACCCCGCCCTGCAGTTAGACGATGCTGATGAGGAAGTTAATCGTATAAACAGTTCGGTTCGCTTACAAACACAGCCAGCTCCCAGCTCCTTACACAAAAGCGGACACCTATCCTTGAGTCCTACGGAGCAGAGAAGCCGTCTCAGCCACTCAGCATCCCCAGTTTCTGGCAAAAACAGGAAGCAGCGAATGAGCCCACCTCCGGGGGATGAGCCAGTTACAGTGGCAACCCAACTTATAGACAGCAGTGTTGAGCTGAGGAGGCGGACTCTGTCGTTTGATGCCACAAGTCTTTCTCCTTATCAGCAGGAGGGAGGATCTGTGGACGACTAACAAAAAGTGATACAAATATACTGCTGGCACCAGCACCGGAGGGACAGGAGCCCAATTCAGAACAGGAAGGATAAAGGTTTCCTGTCCTGTCCATCGTCCTGTTCACTCACAAGATTATCAGCAGGGGAGTGATGATAACTTGTGGTTTTTGTAAGAGTGGGCAAACCTTTTAAAGACTGACTCCTTTGTGCACACAAGAAAAATAAGTTTCCTTTTCTTCTATCATAGACCTAGCTTTAGTTCAGACAATGTAGCCTCCTCCCAGCTCTATTTACTCAAACGTTAACCTTCCTTTTGCTTGCTCTCCACTTTCTTCCCTCACTCATTCCTCATCTCAAGCCTAGGTCAGAATACAAGACACGTCTGCAGGAGTAGATTTGTTTAGTGGTTAATATCATGTACACATGTTGAGAAAGACTAAACAACTTGTTATACATTTAAAAATTTAATTTGTAATTATTCTGCTTATCATCTTTATGTCAACCGTTTTTGGTTTAGGAAGCAAGAGGCTAAAACAAGTAGTTATTTTTATTGCATAAAGTCCAAGTGACAGGTATTTAACTTTTTGGGTGAAGTTAAACCAACAAATGCATCAAAAGTTCACGTTTAAGAAGCTTGAACAAATCAAAAAAATGACTGTAATTGGGAATTGATCAGTTGGTTAATATTATTAGGGCTGCACGATATCGGGGAAAACGTTGTGATATTTTTGCTGAATATTGAAATAGAGATAACATTTGAGCTAAATCCACGTTTTCCTTACTCCTCTCTCTTTTTTTTTTTTTTTTTTTTGCTTTCATCAAATGCTCACAACACTCCAAGAGCTTTAGCTACTATCATCAAAATCAGCTGTGGGCATTTAGGGCAGTGGGAGTTCATCTGATTGCCAAATACATTTTGCATGCAATTTCTTTTTGTGATTTATTGCAGCTCTTTGCACAGCGCTCCTTCACAGCGTTGAAAAGTATCTGATTTCAGTATTTTTCAGGACTAGAAAGTGTTGGAAGAAAGAAAAAGTATGAAAAAAAATGTTAGCGTTTCTAAACTATTGTCTTTCTGAATTTTCAATAAAATAACAATAATGAAACTCATTGAAATTAGCGAGGTATTTTGCACATTGACTGTACATTTAAAAAGATGAACCACCTTTGCTTCATCTACTGCTGGGAATGCCTTTGATAACTAAAATTAGAAACGCATATTTGTTCTATAGCATACTTTTTGTTATGTTATCAACAAAAATATCATGACTTTAACCTTTTAGCAGACAGGGTGTGAAATTTATAGACACAATTTAAAGAAAAGAAAGTCAGATTGACATTTGTGGTTTCCCTAGGCAAAAACCTGATATGTATACACATTTTTTCCTCAAAAGTGGAAATAAAACAACAGTACTGTAGAGAAAAAATATAAATATCTTTCAGTAGTTCCTTATTCATCTCAGATATAATGAAAAGCCACTGAAGACATTAAAATAATTTTCTTTCAAGGGGAGTAAAGCCCTATTTTCCAAACTCAATAATCTTACATAAACATGTAAATCTTAGAACTGTGTCAAAAAAGGTTAAATTGTGTCATCTGGACCAGTTGCTTTAAGGGAGAAATGTTTCATCCCCCATCCAGAGGACTTCATCAGTCTGCAGCCTGCCAACCAGATCTGTCCCATAAGTAACCTTCACTGCTGTGTTTCAAGCCAACCTCCTGTTGGAATCTCAAAAGTAGGCTTTTAACACATGCAAAACACACCCATCCAAAACAATCAATCATCATGCAACAATGAAATGTTTTAGGCCAGGTGGCCAACTTGCTACTCACAGAAACAGCCTGAGGAACACCAAGGCCCAAAGTTCAGAAAAAGGGTTGTAAGCTCAATCATCAAGCCTCAAGTTGAAGACTATCTATGGGACTAATCTGGTTGGCAGGCCGCAGACTGGCGAAGTCCTCTGGATGGCAGACGAAACGTTTCTCACTTAAATAAACTGATTTAAGCTTTTTTTTTTGTTATCTACCTGGATGAATGAGCTTACAAACCTTTTTCTTAAAACTGCATCAATATAGAAACACAACAAATTACAATACATTTATTTATCATCAGATGAGACTCAAAAATGTACAGGAGAAAGAAAACTGAAAATCTGGGTTTAGAAAGTGAAAATTTTCAAAATGGAAAAGTACATTATGTAGGAGCATCGTCTTCCGCTTGTTCCGAAGTCGGGTTGCGGGGGCAGCAGCTTGAGCAGGGAGGCCCAGACTTCTCCTTCCATAGCCACCTCTTCCAGCTTTTCTTGGAGGATTCCAATGGGTTCCCAGGCCAAGTGAGATATAGTCTCTCCAGCGTGTCCTGGGTCTCCTCCCAGTTGGACATGCCCAAAGCACACAGGGAGCATCCTTACCATATGCTCAATCACCCTCAACTGGCTCCTTTTGATGTGGAGGAGCAGCAGTTTCACTCCGAGTCTCTCCCAGAAAACTGAACTTCTCACCCTAAAGGAGAGTCCAGCTAGCCTAGCACACTAGCACAGAGGTCCAACAGAACACCGCTCAGGTTCAGTTTAGAGAAGCCGTTCCTTCTAATCACGCCCCTCCAGGGTCAGAGCACCAAGGCCTCTGCCTTTGGCCCCTGCCCATGCCATCATACACTTGACTCGTATGAACCCTCCTGCAGGTGGTGGGCCCACAGGAAGGCAAATCCATGTTGCTCATTTGGGCTTATCCCAACCGGGCCTCATAGAGACTGGATCACGAGGTACTTTACAACAAGCCCCTCCCCCAGGTCTGGCTCCAGAGTGTGGTCCCGGTAACCCACGTCTGGCCAAGGGACACAGAGTTCCTTGTCCTTGAAACACTGCTTACATATATATTGCATTGAATATCAACTTTTGATTTATTGTGCAGCCCTAATTCATATAGTATTATAGTCATTGCTGGTTTATAAAGTCATTTTCAATCAGTACAATTTTTTTAATATAAAAATCCTACAATTCCTAAAGGTATTTAATAATAATGTATGTAAAAAGAAGAATTTATGATTTCACACTTAATGTAAGGTTTCTTCATTCCACAGGCAAAGTATAATGATTTTTATAGTAAAACTATGCTGCAGGTTTAATGCTTGTTATATAATTTGATCCACGTTCTGTTTTTCCTTATCTTTGGACCAACAGTGCTGCTGTTGGATAGTTCACAGATTGCAATCTGCATCACTTTGATATCTTGTTGGTTTTTCATGGAGAACTTCCATGGCTGGATACACCCAATCTGAAAAAAATCAATGTTCTTCTCTTTTAGCCTTTCAGCTAAAACCATGTAGTGTGACCTGGGCTTTAGTACTTTCTACCTTGCTTTATTTATTTTTTTATTTCTCCTGCTCCGGTCCATTTGTACGTTCAGCCAGCTGAGTTTTGTCACCCCCTCCACTTCTCAGGGTAGTAGTTCAGACACAGTTGACTGTGAGGCATGTGACTGAAGCTCTGTGGTGTACGAGGGCCCTCTGCTGCCTGAACTGGGAGCAGCCAGCAGGTACGACACAAAGCTCAATTTCTACATTTCTGAATGTCAGCTGTTAAGGATGCAGATTTATGGTGGTCATGATGCAAGCGTTTATCAAAAAGCTGTATAGATTTCTTGCAAATTCATAGAAGCAGCGAGCTGTACGTGAATGGAGAGAGCTGGAATAAAACCACCTCCTGTCTGACTTTCATTTGAGTTTTGGTTTGGTCTTTTCCTCCAACAGAACGAGATAAAGCAAAATGAATTATGAGTTACGGTGCCGTCTAAAAATAAAGCCAGCAATCAGCAGCTGCCTGCCGCTGTTAATGAATTCAATTCTATTTTATCTAATCGTGGGCTTCCAGCAGCTGTTGATTAATATGCCCAACACATCCTTGGATCTCGCTAGCAAAAAGTTTATGAGATTAAAGGAAGCAAAATGTAATTATTGAAAGATTACGTGAACAAAGGCGGAATCAGAGCCCTGATCATGGTGATGGGTGGATTTTATTTCTGTCTTTCTTTTTCCCTTTTTTTTTTTTTTTTTACTAATTCAGCATATCACAATAAAATATTTAATCACATGAATATTTTACAATGCTTGAAGCAGTCCTGCCTTTGTGTTCCTGACTTCTGCAAGTTCACAATTTGTTGGTCAAGCTGACTACATCAGCCGAAACGTGGCCTCGTGTTTCTAAGGCAAACTGGTCAGATTGATTAGGATGAATACGTATAAAGGAGATTATTCAGCTCCACCATCTTCCACGTCCCTTCTTCTGTGTCGCCTTCATGGGGCAAGATGGAGCATCATCACTGATATATGTGCTGATCTACACTTCACCACACAATCATGCAGTCAAAGTGTGTGTGTGTGTGTGTGCACCTCCAGGAGAATCTATACGTGTTTCCAGGTGTGCATGTGTAACTGCTTCCAGGTGTTAGTGATTACAGCTGCGTGCATCAATATTTGAGTGTGTGAAGGCAGTAATCTTGACATGGAGTTACAACTAACTAACCGTAGCCAGCAGTTACCATGGTGAAAAGAGCTCTAACATCACATGACCCCGCATCCCGCTGCCCTGCCCCCCCTGGAGAGGATGGAAACCTAATAAACCACAACGCAGAGTGTTGTCTACTCCTGTGCCACATACGGCATCCTTCAGACCACATCTCCTTTTTCTCTTCTTTTCTAAAACGCAGGAGCCATGGGTCTTTGCTGCGTGAGCTTCTGGGGGTCCAGGGTTTCGGTGAAAGGCGGGGCTTGATAGGGACTGGTGGTTACTATGGTAGCACCATTAGGGATGGGGTACGGAGTAGCTCGAGCATTGCATGGGGCTGGCTCCAGGTGTTGCCAAGTAAATAAGTTTGTGTTGCTGCCAGTTAAGTAGCGTCGAAGGGCGCTCAGAGTCAGAACAGCCTGTTGGAGACAAAATATGCACACAGAAAAAGAAGAATTAGGATTGTGGCTTCAGAGAAAAGCAGCTTAATGTGATTGTTTATGAAGAATTCACACTATTATGATCTATTTTTCTTTCATATGTTTTTCAGCACGATTCTCGTCCCACAGTTTTTGTGCCGTTTCATCAAATCATATAACAAAGTGTTCAGCTTGTTCAGGAGAAGGGTGATATGACTTTTGGTATTGGTGCAACTTTAGCTTTTTGATATTTTAGCCTTTTCTGACACTTTTTTTTCCCTCATAGAAAATGAATGGAGCTCATTTTACATCCTTCAAATCTGTAGATCTGTTTACAACCTTTACTTTTACTGCTCTTTTCACATTTTGTTCTGCTTCAGCTACTTTCAGCTTCTTTGTGCAAATTTAAATATTTTTTCAGTTACTTTCAGCTACTTTCTTCTGTTTTTTCCAGCTGTTTTGTTCTCCTTTCAGATTCGTTCCACTAATACAACATTTTCGTGCTTCTAACTTTTTTCTGCTAATTTCAGCTTACTATGCTCCTTTCAGCTAATTTCTGCATTTCAGCTTTTTTTGTTGCTACTTCAGCTACTTTTTAGCTGTTTTGTGCTAATTTTAGCTTTTTCAGCTAATTCCACATTTTTTGCAATTATTTCAACCTTTTCTGCCTAATTCAGCAAAAAAAATATGCTCTCTCCACTTCTTTATGGTAAATTAAGCTTCTTTCTGCCTTTTTTTAGCTATTTTCAGCTGTTTTTTTTCTTCTAATTTTAGCTTTTTTCAGATAATTTCCATTTTTTGTGTTAATTTCTGCTTCATTCAGCATAATTGGGCAAACATATTCTTTCCACTTTCGTCTGCTAATTTAAGCGTGCTCTACCTTTTCAGGTAGCTTTTCAGCATCTTCAGGTAATTTCAGCTGTTTTCGATAAATTCAAAATTTTCATGTTAATTCCTTCTACTTTCAGCATAATTAACTTATTTATGTTAATTTCAGCTTTTTTCCCCTGCTAGTTTCAACTTTTCATGCCCTTTCAGCTAATATTTAGCTCTTTTAAGGCAAATTTGAGCTTTTTCAGCTAATTCCACATTTTTTACGTTCATTTCAGTTCTTTCCACTTCCTTCGGGTAGTGTAAGCTTTTTCCTGCCTTTGCAGCTATTTTTCAGCTATTTCATTTGCAAATTTCATGATTTTTTTAGCTAGTTTTCTATTTTTTGTGTTCATTTGTTTATTTATTATTATGCTATTATTATGCTATTATTATAATAATAATAATAATAATTATTATTAGGTTATTTAAACTTAATTCAGCAAATATGTGTTCTTTCTGCTTTCTTCTGCTAATTTAGGCTTGCTCATTCATTTTAGCTACATTTCAGAATATTTTTAAGCAAATTTCAGCTGTTTTTCAGCAAGTTCTTCAGCAATAAGCATTCACACTGCATTTTCACAGGAATGTAATTTCTCTAGTTACACTAGAGCTAGACTGATTCATCTGTCGGTTGTTTAATCAGGTAGATTCAGCCAATTTTAAAAGACCAAGCATCAGCCAAGCTTTTGATGTTTCCTCTCACAGCAGAAGGCTTTTTTTAAGTGCAAAAGAAACTGAGTGGAATAATATGCCAACTTTTTTTTTTTTTTTTTAAGAATAATGCACCTACTGGGAAAAACTGGTAAAGTCCAAGTTTTTAGAGTTGAGAGCCCGATACTGCTACATCAATAAGTTTGCACTCATGAGTATGAATTGTATATTGTGAGCTTTATGATTAGTTTGAACCATTCTTTTCCAGGATGGAGTTATTACACAAGATTCAGCTTCAGTGGATTTTTTAAAAACAAGAATCTGGTGCACAAGTTTAAATTTATTGTGGACTTTATCTGATACACACAAGGTTAAAGCATGCTCAAATGCATTAATAGTTTTACTCAGATCTTCTAATAAATGGCACTGAACGTCTTGTTAGTGATCATGAGTGACCATATCTGGTAGTTCTTCTTTTCTAGCATAAAAATAATATGTTTGTGGACTGACTAAAACTCCTCTGCTCTTCTCGGATGAAAGCAAATTGGTGAGGGTGTTCAGGAACCACCAAGGCTCAAGCTACTGTGAAATGTAAACCTCTGGAACACGAGTGTTGCTGTCCACAGTGAAACTGGTGTTACATCGCCATGAACCGAGAGGATGCCCACCAAGAAAAATCCTGCTCCAAAAGCAACATCTTCAAGCTGGATTTTGCTGCTGGTTAAAGAAACTGGTCCAGATGACATGATTTAACCTTTTTTGTTGTTATCTACCTGGATGATTGAGCCTACAAACCTTTTTCCTGTTGGTTAAGCCTTCTAGAGCTAAGCTTTATGGTTGGATGAGACAAAGATTGAACAATTTAGCCACTATGACCAGTTGAATGTTTGGAGGAATCATGGCAGGGCTATAAAACCTAGTAACACTATCAGCTGTCAAGCAAGGTGGTGATAGCATCATACTGTGGGGCTGGTGCATTTCACAAAGATGACAGAATATTGAAAATTGATGACTTCGGCATTTCCTCAAATCAAAGTTTAGATTGTTGAAACTTAAAACTAAAGCAGGTTAACATTAACCTTTTGGAATCCTTCCCAGAGTGCTGACCTCAACCCTTGTGGAAGTTTGTGGACTATATAAGAGCCAGGTCCGATTTTAATGAACTCTACCAATTGTGCTAAATTAGTGTGGTCCAATATCTGTCAGAATAATAAAAGACGTTTGGTGGTTGACACAAAAGCAATGTGTGGTCATAGTGCAACTTGCTATGGAGGAATTAACTAAATATTTGTGAGTATGTGTATTTAAGACTTTTTATGAATTAGAGAAAATCCACAATAAATTCAAACTTCAGCACCCAGGTCTTATTTTTAAAATCCCATGGTAGCATAAGAAGAATACAAACTGACATTGAGTCCTAGACTAAATGATTAGCGACAAGTATAAAGCATAAATCAGTTCTTCCATAGGATAAGTAACAGATGGTGAAATTAAATTATGGATATGGTGGCAAAGGTCACAGGCAAAGCTCTGCATGGTATTCATGAAATAAGGGCTTTTGAATGTATTCATGGTCAACACACAGAGGAGAGAACACAACTGGACATGGTTACATGATGGCAATAATGAAATTTAATGTTCATGTGGACAGAAAAAGACTTTGAAGAAACAGACAGACCCAGGTGATGATAGAAAAGAAGCTGAAAGCGATGCTGGCTCTGGCAGCATCCGCACCCTGGGCCAACGGGAGCTCATCTGGAGACGTTGCCTGCCACTGATTGGCCAGAAAACAGAAGCCAACAAACCACAGGAAGCTGGCCACGCCTGAGGGTGGAAAACACAACAATTAGATCTTTCCTGGGATAAATATATTCATGTTTTAGTCTTTACGCATCAAATCAGCCATCTTGCTTCAAACTTCCTTTTCTATACCCTATAGATTGTTGTGTCTTATTCTTACAGGTTTACTTAAGTGGGAAAGAACTGTGTTTAGCATTTCTGTATGACCGCAGCCCACTGCTGTTGTGTTTGTTCAGTACCAGAAAAGATCAGGTCCAACAGCACAGCACGCTTTCGGTCCTTGATGTTGCTCATGGAGGGAAAGTAAACGTCCAAAATCAGGAAACAGATGCTGCCAAGGAAACAGGCCACGCCCACGGTAACAACATAGTTACAGGCGTTGGCGTTGTTGTTGAAGACGCAGAGCAAACGCTCACTGCCGATGTTGATGTAGCCCTCGTTCACGATGCAGCTGAACAGCACGATGGAGAAAACCTGCAGGCAGACATGCGTGGGAAAGTTTACCACTCGTTATATTGATTGATTACATGCAGATTCAGATGCAGATATACAAATATTTTAATATTGACAAATCCACGGAAAACTAAGGAGCACTGTCTCTTTAATAAATCACTTCTTCTGCCACAGTGGAAATCATTGTCTGACAGATTAGACATAACATCATGTAATGGGTAAAATGGCAAAGTAATCAGAAACACACTCAGCTTTTTATTTTGTTTTGTGGTGGATTTCGCTTCTGAAAGAACCTGGTTTTGATATAATATATGCAGAAAAAACTTTGCTGTGACAACTTTGTGTGTGATCACAGTGAAAACAAATGAGCTTTTATCATAGCTGCAAACTAAAGATAACCTCCCCACCATCACAGACATCTACACCTCCAGATGCAGGAAGAGGACCACCTGCATCATGAATGACCCCACTCACCCAGCACACACACTTTTTGCCCTGCTCCCCTCAGGCAGAAGGCTGAGGAGCATTAGGTGTAGACGACTGATCTGTTTCATGTTGCTGCTGTTCTGTTTCATGTTGCTGCTGCTCTGT